GCAAATACAGTTCCCGGGTTAAAGTTTATTCGATGAATAGAGGCCGCACAATATGATTTCCCAATATCCCAAGTAATTATTGAATGTACCACCATTTTGTAGTAGGTAAAGGTATTGACTTTATATTCTAGGGCTATAAATTACTCGTCAGAAGCTTCAAAATGATGTGCCACAAGACACCCGTTTTCATATAATTTTTTTCCAAGATGGCGCCCAGAGGCCATCTTGACATTTTCATCTGTCAGTTTTACTCCAAAATATGGTTTTCCACGCATGAATTTCATTACCTCAAGTTTTAATTTTTTTAATTGATATTTTCGAAAAATCAAAGGGGAGGCTGCATTGAAGAAAAGCACTGTATAGGAACATTTTAGCTGAGGAGTCGTCAGAAGTGTCATGTTAGATTGCCGTGTTTTAACGGCGAATAAACGGAAAATGGAATGTAATTAGAATATCGCAGCAGCCAATAATGCATAACGGAAGTAAATGTTTTTCTCTCTATTGAAAATACTTCCACCAATACGAATTTTTTACAAATATTTTTTTATAAATAAATAGCTCCTTCTTGGACAAACATATTCCTTTTCATTATTGGTTCACACGAACTGTACCAGATCATATCGGAATGGTATAATTTGTACGATTTTAAATAATATCTGCGGCCGCTGGCAGGATACGTGGCAACGCCGGCTGCTGCTGCGCACTAAAACCTCTTTCATCGTAGTACTGGGGGAATTTACATTCAACTTTATCCGCCGAAATGGCTACCGTCTTTGACACTGATAGGAGAGTTTTATAACTGATTGTTATCTAAGATGTGCTGATAGTGTCAAGCATAAACAAGTAATAATCACTCGTTGACGAGCAAATTTTCGAGGTGGCGAGACGACACCAAAGGACGTATGTCTGAGTTGACACAAACAAGCGTCCGCGCATAGAGGCGCATTGTAAACTTATGTGTGAGGATGATGGATGTATGAGAGTGATGCTGGTAGTTTTAGAGTGATTCACCAAAAAAACGTGAAATAAACTATGCATAACTTTTGGTTTGCACAAGTTAACGATTTCCTTGATACAAAAGCAATTTACACGCTCAGAAAGCACCATCGCGAAAGCAGCATTTTTAGTATTCGCAAGGCATAAAAACAGCTTTTGATTGCCAACAAAACGCCTTATCTATTAAAAATAATCTTCATTTAATTTTGGCAGACAGTGTATATCGATCGTCGTTGTCTAGGGCTTGCTGTTGGTTGCTCTAAGCTCCTGAGGAAGAAGCACGGTAGTTGTCTGCTGTCGCTACCCACACCACATAGCTTGCATAATAAACTAATTGGATCAGCTAATCACTAGCAGACCGACTACGCGGAATAAAAAATCTAATTAGGGGATAAAATAGATTGGTGAAGGGGCGATACGACGGTGCGACTCTCTTTTATTTTAGCAGACATCCAATTAAGAGTCGGATTTGATACATCGTCTAGGGTTGAAACTCTTTCTGACGTTGGTATATTAATATACTTACAACCATGGTAATTCTACGCACCGATTAGACGTATTTCACACATCATAGATTTCCCCGTACATTTGCCCTTAAAACATGCATATTTTCACCCACAGGGTTGTGGAATCTGAGGGACTTATGTAAGCGGGTAGCAGGCGGCGTGGCGAGGCGATATGCACATACGAGCTGGACTTGATATCATCTAAATATACACTTATACAAGTATTGTTTGGAGTGTAATTTAATGAGGTTACTTGATTTCGTCAAGTAATATTACATAATAATTTTTGCCAAACAGTTTTATACTAGAGCTCTAAAGAAGTGAATCATGTGTTAGTACAGGAGCGCGAGTAGCAGCTACTTTAAATGTTGCAGAGTGCAACACCTCTTCTTAGGGGTGGTAGAATTAATTAGTCTGTTTAGTGATTATGTCTGACATTACGCAGCTGCCAAAAACCACGGAAAGGCCAATCTAATTTATAAACAGGGTGTCCTGAGTGTAGGAACTTTTCTTTACAGATCGCTTAGGTCAGGCAATAGTGAGCATGTTTTTTAGTGACATATATACCAAAGTTTTAAGATAACCAAGATGTTAGGTTCTGAAAAGCACTAAATGAACCTCTACGACCCTGCCACCCTCGTCTCCCGCAATTACCTTCCACGTCAACACGTATGAAGTTCTAAGACTATGTGAGTCAGCCAGGGGTCGCGGGGTGTTTCGGTTAACCTAGTTTATTAGCAAACCGCATTTGAAAAACTGAAATTGACACATTCCTAGAGCAATAAAGTAGTTGTAGGTTTGATATGAGCATGTTCAAGATCCTATTGGTACTCCGCGAGTGTACCCAGAGCATCGCCTTCGTCCTCGATGTTTCTTTCCATCAGAGCTGTATATGCTTGTTTATCTCGTGAAGAGCATACATGCTACAAATGTAAGAAGATGTAAAGAAACCCGTGTTTTTGAATCGAAAGCGGTAACTTCAAGCAGTGTTTCAAAGAAACATGTGACAGGGCAGTGCTTAAGATTCCTTACCACATGAATAATGAGTACTTCTTTCAATTCTTTTTCAGGTTCTCAGTGTTGTTTTGGCGTTGCAAACGTAGTTGACAACCTTCAGGATAACTGGTATATACAGTCTAAGCCCCCTAGAATTTTACCGTACTACGCCATGTACTCTATACTAGTCAACAGTCTAGCTGACTCAACAGTTAGATGCATCGTTCAGCAAATGCTAGTGTAACTTTCGATGTCAACAAAGTCATTAGAGAAAGCGAGAGCAAATATTTACCCGTTGCTCCCTTGAGCACAAGTATAAACTCCTAATCTGGATAGATTCAAGCAGTTCAACTAACAACCTCTAACTAAAAGTTGGATACAGTCGATGTATAGTACGATCTATATATTTGGGCATCACAAGGACGTAATTAATGTTTAGCATGGGTGCCCGCAGCAACTCTTAGGGGTGCCACTAGGTATCATTCACCTGCAGTAGCTATGTGTGTGTAACAAAGATAAACTCGATACACAAACAAAAATAAAAATAATAGGAGAAAGAATAGTAAGTAGGCAAAGTTTTTACAATACTCATACACGAAAGTACAAGCTAACAAAGCAAAGTAATACGAAACATAAGTAAAAAGTGATTTAATAGATGCACAGTTCACATTACAGTACCTTTAAACTATCCCGTCAGCTGTTTCTTAGCAAGTCGCCCGAAAGGTACTATAGTTTTACCAAGATAAATTGGATCAGTGGAATTATATAACCTGAACCCATGAAAGGGGTGAGTAGTGAGGTAGCACCGAGAAATTTAGGTTATGTCTCAGATTTCTCTGATTAATGTTACCTATTAGTAATATTTTTTTTTAATTTACGGTGGCTTTTTAGTGCGAACTACTTGAACAAACGCCTTCATAGCATACACTAATTGTGATTGCATCTTCAGCCAAATAAAATCTTGAATGGGACATGACTATATTTACGAAGTCCAAATACAAACCTGCAGCAGTTTTTTGAGTTTTGTGTAACCTATACCAATCCGACGAGTCCAAATAAGAATAGAACAAAATTAAGGAATATTGTAAAGATGACAGGATCAAGCTTCCAACTAATTTCTTCCTGGTCTCAAAATTAAAATTGTACTTGTTGGAACATAAAAGTTTTAATTTTCCATACCTTTTAAGAAAGGTAACTGATATGTGTATCAAATTTCAGGCTAAAGTCTAAGATAACACCGAGGTTTTTAGAATGTTCTCCTATGGGGATGCGATGGTTATCGATAACCAATACAATGTTGTCCTTTATGTTATTATACATGGGCTTAGGAGGAAAAAGCATACCTGAACTCTTTCCAGGATTGTTCCTGGGTGCTTTTTGCAAAGATCTGTGATCATGTGATCATGTAATTCGATCAGTATCAATTTTAAGCGACACTTCATTTAACTGAATTTAAATTCCAACTTTCTAGACATGAATGCCAATCAATCGTATAGATTAAATGGAGCAGAGGCCCCAGAACTAACCCTTGCGGAACACCAGATGTAACAACAGTAGTAAAAGAGAGGCCCCTAACGGTCTTAACTACATGCTTGCTTTCTATCAGCCAAGTTGCTTTCGAAAAATTTTAGCAGAATATCAGACACCCCAATGTATTCAGCTTGATTTTGTGATTAACTGTACCAAACCTTTTAAGAAATTATCATCACTAATGTGGTATTAATATGTTAAGTTAACTACGACGTTGTCTGTTCCGATAACTTCTTCAAGCTACGCTGACGTCGCAATCAAACCAATTAAGTCAGACACAATTCATACAGTTTATTGTTACATTCAGTCAATATACGATATACAATCATCAGTGTCAAAGTTCATTCATCAATTCACATAGTCAGTTAGATGAAGCATGAAGATGAAGATGAAGCTACCGGTAGCTCGCAAAGGCAATTTTGATGGCTCACAACATATTTTAAAAAGGTGTAAAAATTACAGAAGCTTCCGTAAATTTTGTAAATTCTCATAATGCACACAAGCAGAGGCAACACTGCGGTGAGCGATCTGTTCGAGAACGATCTCGATTACTTTGGACGGAATAAATACGCAAGGCGCGGCGACAGCGCGCTCAGTTTAAAACTGAACGGCACAAAGTCTAGCGGTTGCGTTCAAATTCAAATTCAAATTCAAATTCTTTTATTATCCTAAGAGACATTACAAAGTATGTATAGGATTCGTCGGAATAAAAACTAATAAAACAACATAAAATAAATATATGTATAAAACAAACACATAAATAAATCATAACATAACATACTCAGAGACGGCAGAGACGGGTTAGAGTTGGCCTGTAATTAAAAACATTTGAGTAGCACTAAGAAGATGAAGACATACCATTTCCATTTGAATGAAACTTGATTGGCAGCTTCAGGGGAGAGACAAAAGAACTAGCAGCAATGATTGCTGATATAAAAGCGTTTATCAAAAAGCTTTTCCCTGTTCTTTCAGAAAAGATATCTCAAAGCCCATTAGAACCATATGACTGCAAATATCATGTAGAAATAGTCTCTAACTTGAAGGATAAAAATCGTTTGAAGGATTTCAACGAAATTGCTATAGTGGCGCAATTTGATGTTTCACCCCTCATGGAAATTGATATCCAACAGTTTGCAACTTCTGTTACGCAGAATTTTAGCGGAGACATCGCTGCGACTGAAATGGATGTGATTGAGTTTCAGTATTGGAATGGCGGTATCAAATTATACTCCAAACGTTAAAGAAATTGTCAGTGAGTCTGAGTGTCAGGCTTCTCATTGAACACGCATTTCTTGTCTGGACATGTTATTGTTTAAAATAGTACGTTGCTTTTTTATTCTTAGTTACCTTTATTAAATCGTATGTGATATGCCAGTGTAGCTGACGAAAAAGTTTATTAACACCTACGATTGATAGGAATGGATGTAGTTATGTAGTGTGTATTAGTTATTAGCTTATTTTAGTTTATTATTATCTATTAGAATTAGTAAAATAAACACATGTATGTCGCATAGAACTGTGTATAATTTCATTTAAGTTGCCTTGCATTGCTTACGACTAGGTAAACCCACAATCAAAGTAGCTCAACACACTGAGAAGGCGGGCGACCACTGCCTTAGAACAAGAGCACAGCAAACTTACGGGTCACAAATGACTGTGAGTGGTTGGATTCTTGACTTTGGCTAAAGGGATGATAATAGCTTCCTTAAAAGCTTCAGGAAATGTCCCGGTCTCAAGGCACATACTAACAATATGTGTTAAATACAATTAAATTTCAGGTAAGCACCTTAAATAATTGGAATAAAATCAACAAGGCCACATTACCAGTATAGCCCAATTATCCACTAGTGTATTAAGCATGGCAAACAGAAGTGGATGGCTGATTGCAGGCGACCGGTCAGAATATTAAGTTGCCCGATAGAGGAACTCCAAGATTATTTCCGCTATCACCTAGTCAACCCAGCCTTAATCTTCAATTAAGTTAACTACTAAGCCCTAGCTTAGGTCGTGCGTTCTGCTCTCCTCAGTTATGGAGATAGAATGCTTGATAAAGTCAGTCCTTTCGTCTCTTCAGACAGTTAACAAACTTTTGAGGATAAGCTACTTAACGAGTAGTGGTATTATAATTAAAGTGGATACTAAATATCTTATAAGCTGTGTTATCGTAATAAGAGGATTATCAAAGTAAAATTAAGGTCAATAAAGAACCACGCAATTTCTTTGTGGAAATTGGACTTCGCTTGAATCTCTGATACGTTGAATATCTCACTGTCCTGGACAAATGTCTCAATGGGTACAACATAATTTGTGAGATAAAAAAGGCTGAAGTTGAATTATCTTCGAATATAAAGTATACAGCACATTCGCCTTTTTTGAGGTCAAGGTCGACCAAAGATGATCGGGGACTCGAAAAAGAACGAGGTTTAGAAGTAACTTTGCAACAATTTTTATGACACAAATAACCTTTTACCTGGCATTAGAATATTTTCGCTAAAATCATAACTGGCACAGTCACAAGACAATAATAGCTTACATCAGGTACTTATCAGATTCCTCGTGTAGCTGATTTACTTTTCGAATTAATTTCGAGCAAATAATTCTAAGATTTTACAAAATGCCAAGATATTTGTGTGTGTGTATATTAGCATTGTGTCACGGCTCTTTTATAAATAAGAGAAAATGGTGGTGTGATTCTTCTTTCCTTTTTTTATAATTTAATGAATTAATAAAACACTATAAATGAAATCTAAGGATCGGAATTCAAAACAGCTGTCAAGTGTCGGGTAAATTTAGTAATGATGAAACCTAATTAATTGTACCTAGAGAGCCAAATAAGACAAGATATTAAAAAAAAGAATCACAATTTATTATCAAAATAAGCAGCACAGATGCTCGACCACTGGAATACAAGTTAAAAGAAAGGATATTATTCAAAACTACCTGACAATAAAATTATTACACAGTAATAATTGAGGGGCTTCCAAGTTTACTTGAATCTGAAAATTCCAGGAATAAATTTATCAAAGTATGATACTATATTAAGTTTATTTAAATGCCAATAAAACATTACAAACAAAAAACATTTTCTTAATTTTGCTTTTTTATTGTCATTTTTGCAAAAATGTACTCGAATCATTATACATGTTACAAAAATTATGGTAGTAACATGATTCAAGTGCAACTACCGTACTAAACCAAACATTATTTAAAAATAATCTATAACAAAATTTCTTATTCATAATCAGAATCTAATATTTGGATGTCTTCATCATTTTCTTCATCTGAATCAGCTGGTCTTGTTTGGGGTTCATCTATATCCGGTACTTTTTGGCTTGATGTCAGGGTCTGTGATTGTTTCTTTTTTCCTTTTTTTGTTAATGCTTTCCCATCGTGCTTCATGTATTTATAAAATGTATGGTGAATGGGCGGAATGTATATGGATGCAGTAGTTTCGTTCCATACATACATATAACTTTTTACAGTCAGTAAGTCAAAGACACAGAAATTATACGTCCATAATTAACGAAGATAAAATACTTTAGAGGTGGTTAACAATGGCGTCGGCAATGCCTGTTGCAAATCAAAACAAATTACAGCCATAATTTTAGAATCATTTTTATTTTCAGCAATATCAGCTTTTTTGGCATCTGTTTCTTTCTGGGCCTTTCTTTGGTGCAGCTCGAGGTCTGCTTGGCATTTTTAATCACGTTTTCATTTGTAGAATATCTTATTATATTTTGCAAATTGTCACAACGACCGCAGGCGAATTCCGTATTGCAAATATGCCTGTAATAGGACTCTTTTACGGGTAATTCTTGTTTGTCAATACAAAACTCCTGATATAATTTGTACATCTTATTGATACTTAATTCTCCTGAGAGCCTTAGAAGTGAAAAGGTTCAAGTTTACTTGAATCATTTTACCACATACTGTATTAGTGTATATTTTGATATGTTCTCAAAGACTATGAGAGATAGCGCCAGGGAACGTTGCCTGCATTTAAATCATTTTACCACCAAGTTAGGATATGCTTTAGGTATGATATTCTGCACTTAGACCATTTAATTTAAAAAGTGCACTTGATCCTTTTTACTTCCAAACCCCTCAATTAACCCCGTTAAACGCTTACCATGGTACACGTATGAAGGCTGTACATCTTAACGCCTAAACCTAAACTTATCTGCATTCTTATAGTCACAGCTCTAGGTGTAGGTGTGATGTTCTTAGCTCTCAAAAACTCAGGAACGTCACAAGGTAGAGGCTGCTTGCCTCGTTTCCAAAATTTGCGCTATAAAAAACCATAGAGAGAGAAAAAGACTGCTTAAAAATCTACTCTCTACTCTATGTCTGAGACAGAACTACACATTTAAACACTTAAACTTGAAGAAAAAGAGATTTACATTCTCTGTTACTAGAAATTTACTTTTCTTTCTGCAAGGGCAAGAAAAGATAAAAATATACCAAAGTGGTATACCCTCAGAAATTGATCCCTTGTTCTAAAACAAGTTATGGCAGCTCAAAATTCAAAATCATGATTAATGTAATGTAAACAGCCTAAAAGACAGTGACATGTCGGCACTACCCTATATTTGAATACGTAAAATGCCAAACCAAATCAAGAACCCCACGGTACCCAATGGGTGCTTAGGCCTTAGGCCTTCGTGGTAGTTGGCATATAAAAAAAAGAACACTCTAAGAATTTCAGTCAGCAACAATCAATATATCTATAAAATATCCAGTTGAAATGATGTTTTACCTGTTCACACCAGGGGTTTTTTGTCAAAGGGATGGGATGGCTTCCAACAAAATCGGCTGCGAAACAGCTACAAGGCAGTTACAAGACAAAGCTGGAGGAGTGTGAATGGTGATTCTCCGCAATGGCTTTCCACTAAAAGGACATAGTCCGTTGGTATACAAAAGAGAACTTACAGCTGAAGGTTAAAATCCCACTAAAAAAATGGATTGGTAGTACCCTAACTAACACAACTAAACGTAAGGTACAAAATAAAAGGGTACTACTCCATCAACTGGTGCTTGGGGCGTTTTATCCCAAAATCTGGAAGTTAACGAAAAAAACGCCCTCACACAACCAAAGCTACAGCAGACAGAAAAAGAAAAATGGCGCTGGACCATCTGCGCACGCAACCTCCTAAAAGAAGATTAAATGAGAGTCCCTAAAGAAAGCGCGTTCGACAGAAAACAAAAAGGAACAGAGAAAAGTCGGTAAAGAAGGTATCTTGATAGGAAATCAAATTTTCACAGAAGGTATCTTGATAGGAAGGTAAACATTCATATACGGCTAGTACATGTGGGAAGCACAAGGTGGCGCGCTGCTCAACTCTGTTTACGAGAGTCCAACGATATTTAATAAGAAAATGTCGAAGGTAGTCGTTAATAATACTATAACATTAATGTCCGAAAGATTTCAGCACAATACTGAGTCGCTGAGAATGGCAGATATAATACGTGAGAAATTATATAATCAATAAACTATGGAATTTGCCAAAAGAAAATCATCAAAAAGGGTTTTGTATCTAGGAATCGGTACTCAATAATCAACAAAGAGAAATTCAAATTACTGATGAGTGATCAAAATAGTAAAAAAAAAGGTTACGTGATTTTGGCACGTGACAATTGATCAGCGTATTCTCCATGAACATATCAAACCATGTGCTGAATTTGGACGTTCACACACAGTTTACATCGTAACAGCCATATTTCTTAGCAACATATGTTTTGGATCTTTTTCGTGTTCCCCTCTCTGGTCGAGGGTGTACTTCTCCTCAAAATAATGGTGAATGTGCTATGCACTTTATAATCTAAGATAATTCAACTTTAGCGATAGATATCGCAGCCCTTAGGGGTTTGGAGGCTGTGCCCATTGAGCCATTTGTTTAGAACGGTGAGATATGCAACACATCAGATATTCAAGCAATTTAACGGAAGTTCGATACGATGAATAGTAACAAAGGTTGTATTCCACGTCAAATAGTTTAGGATCCTATACATTTTTCCAAAATTTAAATTCTAGTAAAAAATATTACAAAGGACCCCGCAAAAAACATACAGGATATTTGGAAGGTCGATACAAAGTCTTAGGGAGGTAATAGGGCAGACTATTTAGAATCTCTTAAGCAAAAAATACCTTAGTTCAAAGTCTTACGGTTATCGAGTTATTCGAGATTTTCGATTTTTATTGACAGAACATCAGGCTATATGAAATAGTTTTTAACCTGACAGTGTGGTTCTTTTTTCTAAAGGTAGAGAAAAAAAAAACAAATTGACTGTAAACAAATAACAAATACATGTTTTCCTATTTTGTGATACTGATAGGAAGGAGCGTTTTTTCGTGCATGATAAAACTAGATTCCACACACTCTTGCTTTATTCCTCTCCTAACAAGTCGATAGTAATTTATGAATATCATTCCAAAAACCCTGAATTAATTAGTTTGTAGAATGTCCGCTTTCACCAACGAAGAATACGCAGATATCGTTTACATGTAATATGGCAGAGCAGATGGTAATGGACTAGAAATACGACAGTTGTACCAAGAGCGATTTCCTGGGAGAAGATTGTCTATTGTCCGAGTGTTTTACAATACTTGCCGACGTCTTTACGAGACTGGAAGTGTAACACGTAATGAACCTGGTGTTAATCCAGGTCGATATCCTCCTGAAGCCGAAGATCTAAACCTCCAAGCGTTTGAAAAGGATCCCACTACAAGTACTAGGAAAGTTGCTGCTGATCTTGGTTTGTCGCAATGGAACATTTGGAGTATCATGCAGCGTGAACGAAAATATCCTTTTCATAGTATCGGCGTACAAGGACTTGAAGATGGTGATACTATTCGCAGAAGCCAATTTTGTCTTACATAGTGACATTGAGAATGAACGGTTCCTGGAGAGCATTCTATGAACGGACGAATCCAATTTTTCAAAGGAGGGCATTACAAATTTTCACAATTTGCATCGATGGTTTGATAAGCAGAAAAATCCACACAAAATCCACCACAAATTTTCCGTTGATGTATGGGCCGCCTTTATGATAGAAATATTAATCGGTCCTCATTTTTTGCCTGGAAGATTAAACGGCGACAGTTATCTACTTTTTTTGCAAAATGACTTCCAGAATTACTTGTAGGAGTAGAAATTCTAGATGACATGCAAATTGTTTTCCAGTAGGACGGATGTCCAGCTAATCTCCGTTTAGACGTAAGACAATATTTGGACGATACTTTTCCAAATAGCTGGACAGGCAGAGGTGGACACTGGACATATTCCGTGGCATTTAATAAGAAAAATTCGAGAATCTTTTTATTTAATGCAGCAAGATAGGTTATTAAATACAACAAGTACCGAAGTAACAATAGTTTATTTTGTTTCGTTTACTAATTTATGATTTAAAATTGAAAATCCGAATATCTCGAGAACCGTAAAACTTTGTACTGAGGTTGTTTGACTTAGAAGTCTCCAAATAGTCTGCCTTATCTCCTCCAAAAAAAATTGGTATCGACCTTTCAAACACCCTGTATAGGTTCCAGTCGATTTGTCTGACAATTGAGTATATTTTTCTCACTATTGAGGTTTCCCAATTTCAAAAATGGTGGATGTGCGCATTGTAGTTATCAGATGAAAAACTCGGAAATTCGGAAAAAAGTACATATTTCATTTAAAAATATTTTAGGAACCGGAAACAGGAAGAAAAAGCTCATCAATGCGAACATAGCTTTAGGGAATTGTAATTTATTGACATTCAATTTGGGTTTATTATATGCGAGCATATATGAGAGCATATTGCGTTTATTAGTAGACTAATAGCAGCCAAGTCAGTTACGTTTTCTGTGTTGAAGAGTACTGAGATGTTTTGAGTACTCTTGATGGACTCTTATGGACAATGCCTAGAAGTTGTGTAAATAGTGCGAACAGTTTTTGTGATGTGTGCGGAGAGCTAACTTTTAAATCCCAAAAACATACTTTTACTCCCCTTGTGTTGAAAGCATACGAACTTTATTTTGGAATTAAAGTTGGCGACCACGAAAAACTATGGGCCCCTCGTATATGTTGTAAGACTGTAAAGTTCTTAACAGGTTGGTTAAGAGGCGACAATCGTAAAACGCCCTTTGCGGCACCAATGGTTTGGAGAGAACCGAGAGACCATACTACTGATTGCTATTTTTGCCTCACATATATTAAAGGTATTGGATCAAAATCAAAACATACTGTTAAGTATTTTAATTTACCATCAGCTTTGCGGCCGTTAAGCATAGTGATGAGCTTTCTGTCCCAGTTCCACCAGAATCTTGGTATTTGGATGAAAAAGTCGAATCCACCGATTCTGAAAGTGAAGGTACAGAAAGCATAAATATTTCCGATCGTTCGTTTGACCTGCCAGGATGTTCAACAGCGCCGTATTTGATCACACAATTTAATGACTTAGTTCCTCGCAGCAGCTGCGGTGACCTGATATTTAGGCTTCTGCATCCTGTGGTTTAAAAATTAAATGCAGTACATGTATGGAGTATCTACTTAATGAAATTGTGTTGCTAGCATCACGTCATCCTATATTAATTATTTTAATGTTTGTTTTCAGCTCCAGATACATGATTTACGTGTCATTACGTTAGGTGCGACTGTGTTTAAAATAGCTGTACATTTCGTTGTTTGCTCTTATTTCCAAGTCTACAACGCAGTATGTATTGTAGCAGTTTGACACACGCCAGGAATTATTATTATTCGACCTTCTGATGTAAAGCCTCAAGCTCTGTCCGAATTTCGTAGTTGTAATTTGAATTTTGCGATTGACCTCCAAATGACTTTCAAGATCATTAGCTACTTGAGGTCATGGACAAGTT